TTAGTGTTATGGGAGAGCCGGATCAATCTTCAAACGTTTCATCTGTGGAGATGAGAGGTCAGCGCTGGCTGCTTGTTCAGCTAGAAAGTTAACATAAACAAATACTTTACTTACTGGAGAGTCCGAGGGACTAAAGACATTTGATATTCCCCCTCCAAATACCTCCTCAGAAGCCAGGACGGCCACCACATGAAAGAGACACTGCTTCTCACGAGCTAAGTGAGCAACCGCTTGGCAAAATGTCTTACCCCAAAGAGAAAGGCTCCGGAAGGAAAGGACATAGTGATGACAATCGCCAAACACAACCTCTTCCAGGGAGACTTCTCACTCCACTGAAGTTGACATGGAACATTTTTAGCAGGGCTGGGGTTATTATATGAAGATAACTTTTTTGACATCTGAATCTAGTTCATTTTAAAGTTTTTTTTTTTTTAACTTGTCAAAGTCTCCTTTGCCAAAGTTGCAATAATAACAATTTGGGGGGGGGGTTGTTTTTCACTTTATTTGCTGTGCATAAGCCCTTCTGATTGATTCAAAGTGGGGTTAAGGGTGGGGAAGGAAGGCCTGCAGGCCGGTCATCTAAAAAAGAGTTGAGGGGAGAGGACTGGCAGGAGGAGGAAGGCAGGGAGAGCAACAGAGAGCCCTGGGGCTCCTAAAGGAGGTGTCTTGGGGAAAAAAAATGTTAGAAAATGTCTTTGTGCCTGCAACATAGTTTGGATTGAGTGATCTTCCAACTGTCTGCCAAGGATGACTTAACATTTTTATTTTTCTTACAAGAGTCATGTATGGGGGTACATGTGAATATATACAGGCAAACGTGTACATACAAATACATGCCAGTGAGTGCATGTGTGTACATGTGAGCTGGAGGGCACGCATGCATTTTAGATCAAAGAATCCAGGTATAAAGGGAACGTGATGTACGACTGAGTAGTGGCACAGGGTCGTGCCGGAGCGGACTTGAGAAAATACAGGCCATAGTTGATTGTCTGTTTCTTTCTAAGAGTGGGTGACTATTTTCAAGAGAGGCAGTCCTCTCTTACTATCCCTCATTTAGCTCATGAGAAAATAAGGTATAAAATGAACCTATCTAAGGCATGAACCTGTTCCTGCCCAACTTAAAAAGCAACTAACTAATCCAAAAGGAAAATCGCCATGACTTATCCAGCCACAATGTAGATGCAACATGGCATATAAATCAGTAACTCTTGTATCGCAAAACAGACAAATAGATTAATGCATTTTGCAAAGGATGGGTGAAGAGATCGATTAGGTTACTGATTCAGACCATGAACTTTCTCTCAATATACTGCATTTAACTTTTAAATAAGGTTTAGGAGAACCTGAAACATTTTGCTCACTGACAGAGCTATATTTTACTAAGGGCAGAAATTGGCTAGTCTATAAAAATTAAATTATGCCCCTTTCACTGTATCTAGTCAAGAGGAAAAACTCTAATTACAAGATTGCACTGTCAAACAAATGCAAATTCACATTCTTTATTCCCCGGTTTAAAAATTCATACTGGAGGGGGCTTCTATTCTGAAATGAAAATCAATATTTGAAATATTTTTCAGAGTGCAATGATAAGCAAGAGCAAAAGAAATGTCATTATCAAGGGTGCTGGTAAATAGACACTAACTCATTAAGTGCTGAGCTGGTGAGAACAAGTCATTTGTTATGCAAACATTTAAATATCAATTAGTAAGGACAATGAGAAGAAGCTGAAGGATATCTTGTTTGTCACAGACTAGGCCAGAAATGACCAAAGGAACAACGCCAGCGCCAGCCAGCGAGAGGGGGAAAATAATCTCAGCACCTGACAGGAATCCCACTCTGGGGAATAAGCAATGGTTAATTTCAAATGTACTTCCCCATTGAAAGTTGTACCTGCCTCAAAATTTTTAGGAGCTGAGTTTGCAGCCTTAACTCAGAAAGGACTAACAAAAGGCCTGGGCATATGGCATCGCTGGTGTTTTTGAGAAAGAGCCTTTCATTACTGGTTAATGTCAGACTGGCTTAGTTCATTAAAATTTCTTAGTTCATTTAAAGCCCTGGTTTTTCTATACTTAGGAAAATCACCAGTCCACATAGCACTTGAACTTTAAAAATCCTACTGGTTGGTTCTCAAGATTCTTTCAACATCCACCTCACGGCCTGGTTACTCACCCTCTCAGGTGAACTTAGTGGTTATGAAAAATTTTCTAAGTACTAAGAACTTTCCATGGATTACCTTTTCAGGTAGACCTGACAGTATCTTTTCCCACATATTTTACCTGGCGGTGTATTCTACTGTATGCTGGCCCAGAAAGTGGGCTTCAAGTGCTTCTTAGTAATAGCTCACTGGTGAAGCTAGACCAGGCATCTAACTTTTCTGAATCTCTATTATACCAAATTCTCGCCTTGGGGCACCCCAGCACCACTTGGGGAAGCTTTTAAAGGCCATGGCCAGATATACCACAGAATTATGAAATGGGCAGGGGTGGGGGTGCCCAGGCATGTGGAGTTGAACAAAACTTCCAGCAAGACCTGATATGCGTCCCCCTTAAGTAGGAGTAACTTTCGGTTCAATGTGCTAAGATTCTCAGTACAGTACATGTTATTGATTAAACTTAAAAAAATTCCAACTTCAATTCCTAATAGCCTCACTTAACAGGTGTTACTTTCTTTCTCCAGAGCTGAGGAGTTGACCATGCAATGAACTGTACACTGACCTGTTGTGGCTGGGGGCAGCCAGGGCCTCCAAGGAGGACCACCAGATTCCATGAGCTAGTACCTAGAAAGTGCCCATGAAAGAGCCAGATGCCCGGGCACGCAGCGAAGGCTAGCTCTTATTTCTGTGACGGTTTTACTTCATGGTGGTCATTAAACAACCAGAGTTTTATGTTTACTTTTCTATCCTTGTTGGTAAAAAATTAAACTGACTGGTCTGTAACAATTACATGGACATAAATATGGACGTGCCTTTGCAGTATCAGCCTTTTGGCCAGAAACAAATGCACCTGGCTGGCTTCTATTGCATCCAGGTGCAGAAGGTTTTGCTTCCACATGTACAGATCCAGACCTAGCGTCTCTCCCCTCATAATTCTTCCTTTTGAGTTTATCCACTGCTTCTGTTCTGGCCCCATAATAACTGAGATCGCCTTGTTATTTCACTCTCTATCCACCTTTTGGCCTATGATCTGTGGCCAGAGGGACATGTCAGGCCAGGTACTTGAAGACTTTTCATGCTGAAGTTTCCTGTGGATAAAAGGGGAGTTAGAATGCCTGAAATGGCTTTTTTTACAGTGTGGCCTGGAGGAGAGAATGAAACAAGATGAAAAACAGCACTTTGAAAATGGAGTGTGTGGTATTCATCTTAGATACACTTTTAGAGAGGAAAAAATGTTTCTCAGAAAAAGGACCTCTTCAGACTTGAATTTATTTTACATCCTTTTCTCAACCATATCCCAGGTTATAAAACATGACACCCAGGTAAGCAGTGGCCTTGAGGATTCTGAAGAAGTTCTTAATGTGTCCACAGCACATCCCCATTTTGTCTGGCTCTAAACTGCTACTGTCTCGAAGAAAGCCGCAAATATTTGAAAGTAACAATGAAGTGTTCACAGTGATTCTGACTAAAATCATAGCAGTTCCTCTGGTAGACAGGTAGTAAATTTTTTGCTTGGGTAAAACGCAAGAACTAAACACAAGTAGAAATGAAACCACCTGTCCTAATATTCCACAGCAATCTTAGCTAAAGAATCATTACTAAGTTTTATTTTGTTTTGCTTTATTAATAGCCCAAATCCTATATGTCAATACAATGCTTGCTACATTTGATGGGACAAGTACCTTTTGAGAGCAATTAAGTCTCAGACTTCCCAGAAGAGCAATTTTGGTGGAAAGAATGTACACCTAGACCAACAGTGACCTGTAAAGAACAGCCGGTACAGTTGGGCACACCACATCTCTGCCGCATGGTGGCAAGCTACCATCTGCTCGCAAAATGGGTAATGACACAGTCAGCAACAGGGCATTTCCAGACCCTTCTTTGAGAAGAAACTACTTTCCTAAGGTGCTGGCTTTAAAACTAGAGTGCTTGCATTGGTTTGCCAGTGGGTTAAAAGAATCACATAATAGTTTTGATCACTTGCAAGGGCTCTGTGGGCAGTTCACCAAACTAAAGAGGAACAAGGCTTTGGTTTGTTCACTATCAGCCTTCACAGCACGTTACTTCCTATCTTTTCAGTATCTTTAAAATGACACATCTCTGTTTACAGGTGGGCTTGACCTTGAAATCAAAGCTACAGCTCCATTCATTTTCCCAAAGTTCTGAACACTTTGGGGGACTTTGGGGAATTCCACCTCAGTGAGAAGACTCTGGCCAACCATGGTGGATGTCCCACAAGACATCATCTTCCCTCCCAGGGTGCTCAAGTCCCTTCCTCAGCCAGCCAGCTGCTAAGCCACTAGGACTGAGAACGACATTCCTTTAAAGATCTGGGCAATTTGTGCTTGGAATTTGATGCATTAGTTCTAAAATTAAATAAAGATCCTGTAGTGTTCTTCAAGGAAATATGGTGTGGCTCTATGACAGAACACATTTTTCAAGCTCTGACCTCTGGGAACTTCAACTGGCTTCATATTTCAGGCTGACATTGCTCACAGGCTACTGTCTAGTTGCCCAAGCCAGGGCCAGTTAGCAGTATATTTTTACACCACCCCTCATCAGCTTTTAGCTAGGGAGGTAAGGGGAGTACATAAAAAGAGCAGAACCACTAATTTGAATGCATTTCCCCTCCCAAGACCCTTGGGGAGAAGCCCTGGTAATTAACTCTAATGAGATTAAAGTTATTTGGAACTCTTCATTTTCCCAGCACTGTAATAGTAAATCTGTGATAACCAGAGTGTGCATTAAATCAATGTCAGCCCCGTTTCCTGTTATTTGATGGCCTCCTCACGCACATCGCACTCCCGGCCCAGGCTGGAGGGCGGAGGGGGAGCTTCTGGGCTCTTACCCGCACTCTGCTCCATCACTTCTTTCTGACACATGTCTTGGACGTTCACCGTGCAATTCACGATGAACTCGGGGGAGGAGCAGTCGTTGTTCAGCTGGAATTCTTCACACTGGTAGCACTGGATTTGCAGCGCAAAGCCTAGGGAACAGACGCAGTCGGGTTCAGATCAGTCCCCAAAGAGCCCACCCAGGAAATCGCGAGCATCCCAGTCCCCCAAGAGCCGCTACTCCGGGATACCTGGGGCCCTGCCGTCTGGATCTCCAAAGTAGGGCTGGACGTGGCGGAAGCCGGCAGTCCTGCGGAGGCCTGTGGAATATAGCCCGAGACCACTGGGCCCTGGCTCTAGATCCAGAGAGCCCATCCAACAGCACCCCGGGCCTTTCTCCAAGAAGTTGAAAGGAGGGTGGTACAGCCCCAAGAGCGAAGTAGCTCCAAAGACATGCGTCAGCTCCAGACTATGCCAAAGGATTTGCCTAATTGCTAATTGGTTACAAATTACTTAATTACTGTTTTTTGGCACTATTCATGATTGCAGTCGCTGACGCCTTTTCAGTTTTTATTTATTTAATTTTTGAAGTCAGCATTCCTGTGCTAGGGCTCCGTGGCTCCCTGAGCGACCACCCGGGATCCCGGGAGGAGGCGCTGGACGCCAAGTGCTGCTGCATCCCAAGTCCCCAGGCCTGGATCGGCGGCCCTTCGCCGGGACGGTCCCCGCGGCGGCAGGGGCGAGCAGCGGGTGGGAGAGGGTGTGCGAGCGCGTGCCGGCACTCCAGACCGCCACACCGCAGCCCTTGCTCCCAGAGACCAGGCTTTTCCAGCAACCCTTTGGTTAGGGCGGGTGGTCGGGGTCCCAGCTCCACGGAGCGCAGTCGGGAGCGGTAGGCGAACTGGAGAGACGGACCGAAACGTTCGCGCCTCTCCGAGCTTCAGCTTGATTGCTCTTCTCGGGTCTGCGAGCTTCAGTCCAGACCTAGTGCCCGGGCTCCCCGGCCGGGTGCGCCCTCCCACCCCACATCGATCGCACTCTGGGCGCAGCACCCAGCTAGGGCGCTGCCGCGGGCTGTCCAGCGCGCCGCTCACCTGTCGGTGGCGCCAACCCTACGGGTTGTCAGAGACACCTGACAACTTGGCGGGGTTCGGAAATGTCGCCCCCTCTACTTCGCCAAGGCCCCAGCACGCTCAGACCCTCCCTCCTCCCAAGCCCAGCTTCTATCCACTGTGCAGCCCGAGCAGCTGCAGCA